AATATATATTACAAGATATGCAATCCATTTCTTTATATTAGATACGAAACGACACGAAGCGTTGGGACTAGGGTTTAAATTGTAATGATAAAAATATTTCAACCATAAATTAATTTTTAAACAAATATAATAATTAAATTAAATACTAACAATTTTTTTTCAAAGTTCAGATTCCATCTGAGGGATGTTAAAACAAAATATTAAGACGAATTAAAAACGTAGTTTGCTTCTATTTATAATTAGAGAAAACAATTTTTTCTAAAATTATAGGGCAAATACACTGTTGCGCAATAATCATGTAAACCTTTTTTTCATCCGCAAAGAGCTGATAAATATTTTAATACAAAAAAAAAGAACGCATCGATTATGGTCAAATCAGTTTATCATATACCACTGACCGATCGTACCGCATTTTCCACAACGTCCCAACACCCAATAGGACACAGAGAGAGAGAGAGAAAGAGATTATGAATCGCTCTCCTGTAATCGCGTAATGACATTCGGCGCAGCTCTTTTCTTCTCTCTTATTTTGCTCGTGCATATATGACCCACGTCTCCCTTCAGCGCGCGTGTACACTTGCCTTTTTTGCATAATTGATATACACTCGGTCGTGTCTGCATATACGGACACGTATTTCCAATGCGCGCAGGAAAAGTACCAACCGAGCCGGAGCTATGTTACATATAGTTACGGCTGTACCCAAACAATTGTGACGTACTTGCTGCACCGATTGTTTTTGCTTTTCTATTTAAGTGTGTTTTCTATGTCTCCAGAAACATTGAAAGTAATTTTTTCCAGTACAATGGCATTCACTTGGTCTGGATTTACTACTCCAGTGTATGAAATAGCAGTGCAAAGAGCAAACCTTCCACAATTGGATAAAGGAAGAAATACTGAGGAAAAAATCTCTCACAACCGTCCAACATCCGGAATTCGAGGTCGTCGACGATAAAACTGAGCTGTGATAATAACCGATTGACAGTCAAGTCAAAAAGTTGCACGACACTGTTCATTATAGGCTTACGTAAATTGCGTTTCGTATTACAGATTGGCTGTAAATGGCTTCCTGTTATACCAAATAAGGATACAAGGTAATATTAATACAATGTATTTGAGGTGTGTTGTTAATCGTTGAGGAAGATAAATACTGGGCTAAAGAAACTGGTGCGTCAGGAAAATTTATTTTGTCGATTCCAGCTCAAAAGGGATAAAAAATATCAGAACTACTTATTCCCAATTAAGAGGTAAAGTAGTTCATTGCGCCTCGATGGATCTATCGATTCCAGCTGAATAATTTCAGAAATACCTAGATCATGTCCAATGTACGCTGCAACGTAAAACCAATCGCCACCATAATTTATGATCACCTGATAAAAGAGACAATTTAAAATTTTCCTAAGAGAATTGAAATATATCGAATAATAAAAAAAGTCTAACCCTACTAAGTATACTTTCACCAATAAGTATCATTCCCCGACGCACGGCAGAAATGATAAAACTCACGCCAATTTCCTGATCACCGTTCGCGCAGATGTATAGGTACTCGTGAAAAGATTACCAACCCTTCCACCGATACTATATGTACAAGAAAGATTGACACTCGTTTTTCAATTCTCACTCACGTTCCCATCAGGCTGGTCCTCATTTATTTTTAGTACAGCCAACGCCAAAGTGCTGATTGAAAAAAAGAGCAATGTTGGGCTAAAACTTTGAATTCCCATCCCAAAAGACTGCCATAAAAGCGTCCATTGCACACGTTACCCGTGCATGGATACAATTGGCATTATGCCACATCTTGCGAGGCAAAGAGAGCCCGACAGGCATCGGCGATTACGCAAGTAAACATTAATTTGCATGCATACGCGTGTATCGTAGGTATGTGCGGGATACACCCATCACTCCTCGCACTCCCATGTCTCGTATCAAACCTCCACTTGAATGCTACACTACGCAGTACAATGAGAATCATGTAGGTCCAGCCTGTGGCTAATTGTCCTATGCAGATGCTTATCTGGAACGTGTGGTGGTGTAATTTCTCATGCATAGGTGTACCACGCGTGTACTTACGTATATAGGTCCGCGAATGTCATGTAACACGCGTGTCTATGCTCTTGCGGAGTATTACGTGAAAAGAGGGCTGGGAGTGAAAAATAGCTCGCGCGTCTGGTGAATATGTGCATGTGTGTTCAGGGCGGAAGTCGTAAGGATCAGTTGGAATTGGTATGGGCGTTATATATGGTAAGGTTGGGAGATAGAGAAGGTGAAAAGGAAGGAAAGCTCGTTGGTGGGCAAGTGTATTTTTTTTTGTTTTTTCAGGAAAAATGGCACAGAGATATCGATAAAACCTATCCATTATAGGTGGGCGCGTAACGAGTCGAGTATGTGATCGATTTATTTGTACGTGTGTTCGAAGGTGTCCTGCGCGGGATATTTGGTGTGTTGTTGGGTAGGTAGTGCTTGTTTGTTCTTTCCATGAGAGTAATTACCTGTAGCGGGGCAGCTGCAGGTGCTATAGTTTTTTGAGATTTATCTGTACCCGCACATGCGTGATCTGTGGATATCAATTGCTTTTGATGACGTTTTTGTGCAAAAGTAGATAGAGTGGGTACATTGGGTGAAAAATAGATTTAATAATCGAGAAAATTCCACATGGATAATTAATTATGACCCGGTGGAGCTTGTACCCGGAAATTGATAGTGCGATCGTGATAATGAATATAATATTATGTTTGGTTGGCTTATAGCATAAAAAAAATAAATAAATAAAGAGTTTTTGATCAACTTCTCTATCTTTATTTTGTCATTGCAGAACTTTCTAAGAAAGAGGTTAAAAAATTTTCACTGACATAATTATATAAAACAACTAAAAGGAGGTTTTGAGTGTTTGAGATTCTGACAAGATCAAATCTACTTCATTCATAATTTGTCACAATTTGCTTATGTGGGTGACTGCCAAAAAGTTGACTCTACTTAATCATAAAAATTTATGAAAAAATGGATTATTTCGTATTTCCGTTTCTTAATCAGCAAAAATTATATAGTTTATAAATTGTAAGGACAGTGAGTTTCAGTTAATTGTCAATGGATAAGAGTCTTAGAATGAGGATGATGTAGATAATATACATAAAATATTTAAAAAATGTTTTAAAAGTTAGTTTCGACAAAAAATAAAAAATTGTTAGGTGACGCTGAACAAAAAATTACATTCTTCTTAAGAACTTCATACGTGAGTATAAATTTTTTGAATATTTTTTTCCATATTTATTNAAACGAAAAAAATGTACTTTACTCAGAAAAATAAATTTTCTTTTCAAATGTTTAAAAATACACAAAATAATCGTGTTTAAGTCTAACAGTAGTGATATACATAATGTCATAAAGATAAACAACGTATCGTTTCTCGACCAAATAGCCCATTCCAACGGATAATGGTCTTTCAGGGAGGGCATTAAATTTACACTCGCAAAAACCCCACTCAAGCGCTTAAGGAATCATTAACGATTCTATAAAAAAAACACCCTCGTCGTGGTGCAGCGTTGCACACCGTTTACTCGAAAACCGATAAAAACACAGACGCGATGCAGAAAAAAGACATACATCAATTTGTCTCGTGTAAACAGAACAGCGATGAAAATGAAAAAAAATAGCATGAAATTGCCGTGAAAACAAACAATCGAGAGCAAACAAGTACAGTTGAAACGTAAACGGCGGATGTTTAGCCGTGCTTATGTACTGTCCCGAAGAGAATGCGCGCCCCCGCGTCATTTTATCACGCAGCGCAAGTTTCAACCCATGTGTTACGTATTGAGTAACAACAGTTTTTGCGCTCCGCAGAAACGACAAATGCTCGACTTGGGCATGTCGACAACGACGACGATGAGGAGAAAAAAAGGCACGTTACCCCCCTGAGTACAATTTATATACCTACACGTACACATAGGAAATTCAAGTACGCGGCTTTGGTCTCGTTAAGTGCCAATCTGATAATTCGCGAGTGATTTAGTGAAAAGTGAGCGCGGCTCATAATCTAGGAGCTACAAGTGGATACGGCGGCTCATTTCTCGCTACTCCGTTAATATATATATATACATTAGTGAGCGGAGGGGAGGGGGGCTGTTAATCCAAATTTTATTGGCTTTAGCAACAGAGGCATAAAACATATTTTTCCTTATTAAATGGGGGACGTAGGGAACCAGCCCCCCTTAATCAACCGTACATAATGGGTAGATACATAATTAACTTTAATACAAATTTGGGAATTCATTTGTTTTATTAAAAATAACATTGTTTATTGTAAATTTTTAGTTACTTATAAAGATAAACAGCCAATGTTTATCCCTAAAAAAACGAGTCTTCTCATCACGTACGAAGTATATTTCATTTATCAAAGTAAAAAGCTTATTCATGACTTCAAGCTTCCGGTTGAAAATCATCCTTCAACGTCTCTTTTACTTTTAATTTTTGAAAGACACCAAAACAAAGCACTTGACGAACCTCCAATCATCCACATGCCGATACAATGATAGTAATTAAAAAAAATAACGCACACGAACTAAGTGACCACGCGTAGTCTTAATAATCTCGATAATACCCCCCCGAGTGCGGTTGGTGCTGATACCGCCCTTGGCTAGCTCTCTCGACGGCAGCCAAATGCGCCGCCTTGGCCCTCGCGACATCCGGTGTATCGATGACCCTCCCGTCCTCGGCTAGTGGCGCGAATGGTCCCTGGTACTGTTGGTTGTCATAGTACCCTTCGGCACTACCACTGTCGTCTTCGTCGTCGGATGAGTACGGGTGGTACTCGCTGTCGTCGTCGCCCTCGGCACTCGCGCTGTTGCTGCCGTACGTGTTTACAGACGGAGCATCGTAGACATTGGATCGGGACGCCGCTTTGTTGAAGGCAGCTAAGTGCGCTGCTCTGGCCTGGGCTACTTCGGGGGTTTCCAGCACTCGGCCCTTAAAAAAATACAGTAGTGCATAAGTATGGGTCATTTCTCAAAAAGTGCCATATTTCATGGAGCCTACGTTTAAATACGACGGATTTAATCGTTTCAAGTTGGAACTTTTTTTAAACGGTGTTAATTAATGTTTCCTAAATACGTTTTTGAGATCGAGTCGAAAGAATTTTTTGCGTGGCCGTGAGATTGAAAAAATGGTCCAAAATGTCATTACCGTAATGCGAAGCATCTAAAAATTTTATTTTTTGCGGCTTCTGGTGCATAGACGTTGATTTTTCAATTTTTTAAAGATGTATGTTATCTAAAAGTTTTAGAACCGAAAAAAATTTTGATTTCAAGTACGGGACGTTTTATTTGTAAAGCCTACTTTTGACACTTTTGAATTACGCTCTACAAATTATTTAATTTGGCGAAATGATTAATTTATAGAGACTGAAAATTGAACATTTTGCACTTTGACTGTACGAGAATATTGTCAATTTTTTTTCAGACCCACATCTGAATATGGCTATTTGTAATGTCGTCTCAAATGCAGAACGTTTTTTCCAGTAAAACAAGTGATCATTACCGTAACGTCCCTTATCTCGAAGGGATTAGAATGACTAGATAACTATAGTGTACGAAGGTTTCTGGAGTGCAGATGTGGCTAACTAAGTTTCGTTGAAAATTTGCTCCTTGGAGTTCACAATTGCAAAAAAAAGTATCACTCTTTTAAATTAAAAAAAAAATTACATTAAAAATAACATAGGTTGTCAAAAAATGACCGTAACGTCAGGTCCAAAAGTTTCCAACTTTTTTGGACCTCACATAACTTTGAAAAAAGAATGAAACAATTCTGAACATTAAAAAATCTCGGCTAGGGCGTGAAAATATCGCAGTTTTTGTGAAATGACCCATTTACGCGTTGTATAAATATGATTTATTGGCCACCTTTGACTGCGTGTATACTCACGTCTTTTGAATTATATGCACCTATTGACGCGTATACGCCAGACTTGGCTACCGCGTTACGGTGTGGGTAACACAATTCATTACATATGCCAGAGGATGATGCATTACATTTGCAAGCTGTACCATTGAATGACTTTCGCCAAGACGGCAAGTTTATTGTTCTATAGGTGTTAATTTGTGTGTTCGTTCGTATTTATAAATGTCACTACGCGTGTTTTTGCATAAGTAAGTATGGCGCGGTGATTGATTCATCGGGTGAGTAATTGCGTGACAGGACGCTGCTGTTATTTATACAAATCATTTTACGAACGGGGAATGCGAGTGTTGGAGATGAAGGGAACAAAAAAAATGCTGTCACGAGGAGTAATGTGTGGGTTACCCTCTACGGTTGTGGTGGGTGCGTGTTTAGCGAAATATTTGTGTTCTCAATGTATCATGAAACATTCGGAATGCAATGCCGTTTCAAGGTAAGTATTGGAAAATACAAGAATGGCTAATGACTTTAACTGCGGCTTTTTCGATTTGTATTTACAAGAAAACTTATATCTAATCACAAATCGCTTAGAACAATCAGCAAAAGGTGTAACGCAGTGTTTAAGAGTGAAATAATTTTTGATTATTTCGTTGCTTTTCAAATTTTGTTTTGGCTTTGTAATTTTTTGCTAAAAGTGCAATGCAAGAATTTTTCTAAAATACTATTTATAACTAAATTTTCCCGCAAGACAATGAATTACAATAAGAAAAAAAAGTTACATTATTTAAAAATGTGTTGAAATGTTTAATTGCAATTGAAACGTAGTTAACTTCTTTGGAAAAAAATAATGTTTTCTTCTCATTACTGTATTGTTATAGTAGTGAATAAAACATTATGTCAAACGAAAAAAATGTACTTTACTCAGAAAAATAAATTTTCTTTTCAAATGTTTAAAAATACACAAAATAATCGTGTTTAAGTCTAACAGTAGTGATATACATAATGTCATAAAGATAAACAACGTATCGTTTCTCGACCAAATAGCCCATTCCAACGGATAATGGTCTTTCAGGGAGGGCATTAAATTTACACTCGCAAAAACCCCACTCAAGCGCTTAAGGAATCATTAACGATTCTATAAAAAAAACACCCTCGTCGTGGTGCAGCGTTGCACACCGTTTACTCGAAAACCGATAAAAACACAGACGCGATGCAGAAAAAAGACATACATCAATTTGTCTCGTGTAAACAGAACAGCGATGAAAATGAAAAAAAATAGCATGAAATTGCCGTGAAAACAAACAATCGAGAGCAAACAAGTACAGTTGAAACGTAAACGGCGGATGTTTAGCCGTGCTTATGTACTGTCCCGAAGAGAATGCGCGCCCCCGCGTCATTTTATCACGCAGCGCAAGTTTCAACCCATGTGTTACGTATTGAGTAACAACAGTTTTTGCGCTCCGCAGAAACGACAAATGCTCGACTTGGGCATGTCGACAACGACGACGATGAGGAGAAAAAAAGGCACGTTACCCCCCTGAGTACAATTTATATACCTACACGTACACATAGGAAATTCAAGTACGCGGCTTTGGTCTCGTTAAGTGCCAATCTGATAATTCGCGAGTGATTTAGTGAAAAGTGAGCGCGGCTCATAATCTAGGAGCTACAAGTGGATACGGCGGCTCATTTCTCGCTACTCCGTTATGCACGCGTGGCTTTGTACAATATTATTCAAGGTATGTGGCGATTGCAGTTGAAAATACACATTTTTTTTTTTTTTTTTTTTTTGTTTCAACAATATTAACGTGTGAAAAACAATGGATTTATAAAGCTTGAGCAGAGTAAGAGTGGTCATACAGCAATTTAATTTCCGCGCCATTGGTCATGTAGAAAAAAACACATAACTCGGCTCGTGCATAACTCAAAGCGAAGCCTATAACGCCAATGTTGTACTTTTTTTTTTGCTCCGTCGATTTAGTAATAGCTTCGGTGTATCGTGAAGGAAAAAAAAGAGGGTGAGGGACCTCGATGTTCGCGACGAGAAATATTCTCGAGTGACAAGACTATGCGAGGGTCGCTTTCCTCGAAAAAATGAAAAACTTTCAATTATTGTAAAATGAATTGGATAATCGTTTTTCTCACGCGATGAGTTATGAAAGCGTTGATATCGTTTCTTGCCTCAAGTACGTAGTATCGTGGTAATAATTACATAAAAAAGGTGTAAAATTACCGCGGTTACGCAATGGCGGGGGAGGAGATTATATATTTAAATTGCACCATCGCACGGCGAAGAGTAGCAAAATGAAAAGGTGTTATTATATTCGGTAGGAAGTACGCATATTGTGTGTACACGTGTTGCACTAAACACAGGTATGTTTAATTGATTCATTTGGACTTGTTGTCTACGATGTGGTCTTTCGTTGTTTTCCAGCGTAGATTTTTTTTTGCAATACGTTGAACCTTTATGAGTTTGAGATTTTAATAAACAATTACTTTTTAGGTAGTACTTTCGTGGTTGAACTTTGTCGTGGATGGATAATTTTTCATGCATTGTAATTGTTTTTTAATAATGCAATACATTATGCTTGAGACAGGGAATTTTTTAAAATTATTACTTACAAAGCCTGACCTTACAAAAATTTTGAATAGCACAAATGATAGATTTAACGTTCAGAGTAAGAACAGTTATTAAAAGGTTTTTATTAGGGTATTAAGTTGTTTGTTAATTAACTTTATCTATAATAATAATTCTCTTTCTATCTATAAGTAAAAAAAAATGTGTGGACTTTTATATTCTACGTTGTGATGAAATAAAGTTTTTTTTAGTTAACATGACTTTGCTAAATTAAAAAAAAAAATTCATTTAGAGTATTTAAAAATCTGTAACAACTGGGCCCAACTCTGTCTGTGGTCAGTGAATTCCATGCAAAATCGACATGCCTGGTTTCTAGCTCCTTTATTCCTTTCAAGTATTTTTGACGAAAAAAAGTGTAACACCGGCAATTAAGTAGCGTGAAATGTAATCTGTTCTCGTGCGCGAAGCAAAATTGTTACGGACATAAATCAAGTGGCGGTCCTGTTTTTGCAGTCCATTAAAATTCGTGCTCTATCTAGTTGCGTTTTACCATTATCACATTTTTCAGGCAACGAAAAGTTAAGAAAAAAAAAAAATAAAAAAAATACTTCTTCAGATTAGACAATCATTTTGCGTACGTATGCACATACATTATATCAAGTGCTCCCGAAAGTTCACTGATCCGATTTTGGTGGGTGAATAAATTTACGCGTTGACGAATTGCTAATGGCACAAAAAATTCTGGGCGTATCTCACTGAATTCATTAGATCGTTGCATATTTATTACAGATACGCCGCTGCCATTTAATAAATGAGAGTTCCTTGCTGTGATAAAATCATCTATTTTACTGAACACGTGAATAAATTTAATTGTGATATCCATTTTTTTGTATTATTAGTATTCGAGTGATGGTGTACTACTAGCTACGTATACTCTACCCTCAGATTTGACACATCAATTATTTCGTAAATTTTTAAAAGTTTAAAAATAAATTCCGACAAAAATGCAATTTATTGTTTAAACCAACAAGTTATGTTAAATGTTACTTATAATTAAATATTTTTGTTGATGAAAATAAGACAATGCATTTAAAGAGAGAATAAAGTTTACGTAAAAGTTTTCGAAAAAATTTTTTCCAACATCTTGACACTTTTTCTTCTCAATTTTTGTTCAAAATATAATGCATTTCTTAGTTAGAAGAATCATGTGTTAAAAAAAAAAAAAAAAGATTTAATGCAAAGTATTTGCCACATTATCGAACGATCACCCCATACCAGATACTTTACACGAAAATCAATAGACTATACCAAAACAGCCTACATACACCTACACCAAAAAGCACAACAAAGGCGTTATCTTACATCATGAGCCAGAGGAGCAGGTGGGCCATGATACCCGTAAGGCCCGTGTTGGACGCTGCTGCTGTAAAAGCCTGGATTGGAGTAAGCACCCACGAGCCCCTGTACTTCGGCTGCAGTGTTGAGAGCTGCGTGAGGGTAATGCTGCGTCGGGGACATCGAAAAGCCCGTGAGGTGTGTGGCCTTGGTCTGAGCATTGTGTCTTACCGGCGTAGCTGCGGCCCAGAGTGGCAGCGCCGACAGTACCAGTAGCTGAAAGTTTTACCATAGTTTGGGTTGAGATGAAAAATATTTTTTTAATACAAATCTATGCTTTTTATTTCTCATGTTAAATTGAAATCATAAAAAATACTAATAAAGTTATTTGCTGCTAATTTTAAATTTTTGATAATGGACAATATGATAAGTAGGTATACTTATTTTAAGATTTTAATCAATTAAGTGGGCTGATAAATTTGATAATTATACCTAAGAATACCAAAATATCATTTTACAAATTTTTCTTTCCAGTTTGGAAAAAAAATGTCAAACGAGACAAAATTTAAAATATAAAAACGGTACTAAAAATTTTAGACCCCTGAGATCTTCGTTTTTATAATTTTAGTTTTTTTTTGGCCTGCAACTTCCACTTATCGGAAAACATCGAGTCATGGTTATCGAATCATTGAATCAGTAGAACAGCTTTTTCACGCTAAAATTTTTGCAGCCAATCGGATGTAATACAACACTTTACGTACACGCAATTCGTGAAATTCAGTGTCTGTTTTCTCGGTTGGATTTTGTAATTAGGTGTGAATTTCCAAATGTAACCATTGCCTTCGTGAAAGAATTTTTCTAAGGTTTCCAAATAATTGTAAAAGTTGTAAACTGTTGGTAAGATTGTTTGGCAACTTTACTACGTGGCAGCCACTTGAGAAAGATCCTTCTTCTATTTTTAAGGAATGATAAAACATTACAAGGATACTACTAGAAAAGCTGTTCATTTCAAATTATTTTTTTTCGTGAATATATAACATCATACGTTTTATTTTTTATGTCTGATATTTAATTCTTAATAATCGCATCCGCACCAATAGTACAAGAATTGCCATTTTCAACTTTAAGAGATTCAAAGTGATCTGTAAGCCGTAAACAAGTGAAAAAATCATTTTGTTGTCCGTCAGTGTCACTTGGAAGAAGTGAATTTACACGAGCAAACAACATTTTATACCAGTGCGCGTAGAATCAACGTCACACAACCTGCGAAGCGTATGGGTTTCAATTGCGTGTTTGTATACCTCAACGCGTATGTCTAATTGAGCGAACTGATACACAAACGTATCTGCATACCACGAGCAACCGATTCCCCGGTGAGTAAGATCGCATTACCGATCACACGCAGTGGTACTCGAAACGCACTCCAAATGAAAAAAAAAAAAAAAAAAAAAAAAAAAAAAAAAAAAAAGAAAAACCCTAAGTACCAAAACGAAAAAAAGTCTCCAAACAAGGAAAATCACTCACAAAAAACTCCATAATCGATGACCGATCAGATATGGCGCACGAGACTTGTTCAGCTGTCAAAACTCGGTGTGTCGGAATAGCGTCGAACATCGGCTTTATATATAAATCCATGTGCAGCCATTGCCCAATGGCCCCTGCGTTGTGTCTCTTCGGTCCCCCGCGTCAGCCCAATGGACCGGATAGCCTTTTACAACAATGGTGCGCCACAGAATTAGCCGGGATTTCGCAGTCTTGCTGTGGGACCGTCGTTGATTCTTCACGCTTCTCCGAGTGCTGTAAGTGGGTGGTAACGTTCACAGTTTTTTTGACACCACGAGAGGATATGTAAAGGTACTCTAAGGGTGCACGGTTGACTGGATGTCGTATTTTCTTCCTCGCGAAATCGGCACGTTGACCTTTTTCCCAGGTTTTGGTTGTGGGACTTCATTCATAATTCACGAAAGATTGTCCTGACCAAACAACCACTGTAGATGTCTCTGTCCTTACGCAAAAGCCTTTTTTACGCGATCCCTCTCTCTTTCTCCTGATAGAGCCCATGTAACGCGGGCACGCGACCAAGACACGACATTGCGCAACGATCGAGCCGGCATAACGATATCCAACCCACGTGTATTGCCGATCTCCTGATCCGGAGGTCTCTTATCTTTCCGTTTAATAACGCTACGTGGGTAATGATCGCAGGGCCATTTATCTCTTGCATGAGTTGATGGTTGCTGAAACGGGGTTTGATGGAAAAGAAATAATTAACAAATAAAACGAGAAAAAAATGCATCGAGGGTCGCACGTATATCGATTGTTCGGGTATCGAACGGTCCCTGCCCACGGTGCTAGTCGTGCAGTGCATGGGTCAATGGGGTATACGAGATACTTGTAGATTAACCAGTTGGTCCGTTATGGGCTGTGGTTTTGACGAACATGATGCTGGTCGTTTGAGATCGTAACTGTGTTTTGCATTTAACTTTTGCATACGGATGGATCGTTTTGCGAATAATGCAGTATTTTTAAGTATAAAGTAGAATTTTTCCTGCAATTTATCAGAGGTCCGAACTTTTGTACCATTTGGTCTAGTGCCATTTTCAAGAAGTTCATGTTAAGTCAAGATTATTTTTCAATATGCTTCAAACGAGGGTCACATGGTTATAAAAATGGCAGTTCTAGAGACTCAAATGAGTATTTGGTAATGCCATTGAGTTGCAAAAATGGAATCGATTATGTAAAGATCCCGGGTAAGGCCTTATTGACGACGATTTTTTTTGCTATATTTTGGTTACATTTTAATTTTAATTTGCAAAAAAAAAAAAATGTACTTGACTACTCCACGATACGAGATGGTTCAATTGGGGTGTTCAAAAGTTGATTGTGTGATCTGAAGAAAGAATTTTTTTCACAGAGTTTGTAAATACCGACATTCATGGCATTAAATGAAATATCGTATACACTTTTAGAAAAATTTTTTGTTTGGTATCATCTCGAAGTACGTATTTTTTAAAATAGCCAATAATATTTAAAAAATGGTCAGTATACCGATGTGCGATGATCGTGATGATTACCAACTCACATGAGCTAACCCACTTTCCCGTGAAAACGCGGAAAGTGTTGAATCCAATCCAGCGATGCAGTTGCACGATTAATAACTCTCGGAAAAACTTTCTAAGTAGCTCTTTGTACACTTATCATCGAAATTTCGTCAAAACAAATCAGCGCCGAAACAGATCGCGTTACGATACACATGTAATAGCAGTGAAAAAAAGAAGTATCTTGTACGCAGAAGTAGTGATTAAACGAACAAGTGGGGCGTCGACGGCAAAAAGCGTCCTAGGCTCTCGCGGCCTTGCTCAATAAATTGAGGCTCGAGCACAGGGGTGCGCTTCGACGCACTTTAACCACACGACGCGTGAGCCTCAGGTGCTTCTTTATTTCGCAAAGACTCCCGGGAAATCGAGCACGTCATGCTCCAAATGCGATATTCCAGTGATTGTAGGTGTGGCTTTTTTTTTACACTAGTACGGAAAATCATGTGGATAAATGCGAAAGTGAAATTTAATAATACTACGCAGCAGGTATGACCGACCGACTCATCTTTAGCTGAAGAATTTTTGTGCAAAACCGCGTAGTTTTTCGCTGAGTGTGACTCTTATCGATATCGATTTCTCGTTGAATTAACTTCAATATCGTCGAAGAGCTGGAGGAAAACTTTATTTTCGCGTGTCGATCAACTATGCGCTCTCGTATTGAGTCAGAGGAACTTTTTCCCCGAGAATTCCAATTTCTATTTTTGAAGCGAACGGACGCTGCCCGCAACGGTTTCCATTGTACCGAGGTATCGCCGTAAGAGCCGAGGTTTTTGCAAAATTGAGTCGCGCTTCATTAACCCGGACATTGACGAAATCCTTGGAGTCCTTCTCAAAGTAACGGGCTCGAAAGTAGAGAAGAATGAGCGCGCTCGTGGTAATTTCTTCACGTGTTTTTCTTCAATTGTAATATTATGTAAGCAGCTTTTTTTCTCCCCCCAACTCGCTCGGTAGCCCAACGAGTGGAGTATTTCGATGCAATACGTGTCTTGTCGATTAATACAAAAAAAAAAAAAAAAAAAAAAAATTGAGTTCGTTTAAAATTAACGAACGAAACGATACGCGAGTGCGAGTGGCTATTTATTATGAAATGGATTGTCGGCTTGCGCAGCGTGTGAAATACCGAAAAATTTATTTCCATTGCACACAACAATTCGACACTTTTAAATCGTTAAAACGCAAATCGAACGACGCTTCCACATATGATTTGGGCATAATGGATCGCTCAATCATGCCATCTTCGACGCACCTGAAGTAATGAGAATGCACATAAAAAATTTTTAAAAATGAAAGAACCAGTTCATCTCGAGTCGAAAAAGAAGCTTACTTATTTCGTTAATAATGTATTTTTTCTAACTATTGACTACATTTACGGGCTGAATAAACGCTTTGATCGACTCAATGGCTTAGCTGGATCTATAGAGCGAGAGGCTGCGTTTTTTCAGAACGTATTGGGCAAGAGGCCCACAATGCACGTTTACCAATGCGCTTGCTCAGTTGGATGGTCCTCATAGATGTGATTTCACTTTGATGTCCTGGGGTGCCCGAATACATCAGGTTGTAAAATTATTTCAAAGTCAAACATGAAAAGTTACTAATTTTTTCAACTTCAGATAACTTTGTGTTTTGCCTTTACAATGTCCTTAATAACGACAAGCACCGTTAATGTCGCCATCGAAAAACTTGGTAATGATTTATCTGTCATCCTCACTTTGTGTGGTTGAAATTCCCTTGAACGAGATGCACAACCATGGAAAAGGAAATATTATCTGTGATCCTTGCAATTTACGACCTTACTTGTAAAAAAGAAAAAGTTCGCCCTAACAACTGATGATCGGCCTCCATACACAGCCAATAAGGTACAACTTGGCGAGTCACGTGTTGCAAAGTCAAACAACACGAATACGATTATAAAGTCGTCCACAGAGTAAAAAGAGGGAGAGATGATGAGAGAAGAGCAGAACAAAGAGATAAAGGGACAATGAGAGATGAGATGTTTCTGAATGTATATGAGAGCAGGGGAACACCTAAGAGTGAGAAAAAATGATGGAGATAAAAAGAGAGAACGAGGGGCAGAGTTGGAGTGAGATACATGTGT